CTACTTTGCCAGGCCAGGAGGAGCCTTGTATTTACTGATTGTGTAACAAATATTGACAAGGACAAGCTGAACTGGCCTAAAACAGTGCTCGGACTCGGTTGTTGTCCAGAGGGACATTTGTGCCATATCATGTTCCATGTTGACGCACCAGCACAAAAGCTGGAATTATATTTAAAAGTTTGCAGTGTTCGTTTTTTTGTTTTGTTTTTTTTTTTTTGATTTTCTTTTTTTCCACTCTACAGCTCTGCCTTGCTGGTCTATTCATGTGGGCTGGCACGTTATTTACTTTTGTGGTCATTGTGCAGCGTTCGGGGGCCTCGACAATCCCCAAAGTTATAATTCTTAAAGTTTTTATCTGTCGCACACACACACGCTTCCTGTGGGTCTCTGTGTGTGTGTGCCTGTTTAAATGGGCGTGTACGTAATATTAAAATTGTTTAGATAGATTTAATAGCTGCGCTTCGCATATTTTTGCATATTTATGATTTGTGAACAACAAAAAAGCAACAACAACAGCATAAGCTGCAATTTTCGCTGTCTATTTTCATTTAGAATTCGTTTAATTTTCATTAATGAAGCGCTAATGAAAATCTTGATGCGCCACAGTTAATAATAAACTTGGGCCGAGCGACCCCGGGGAATTGGAAAAGAAATTCCAATGACTTTTGGGTATATTCAATTTTAATTAAGTGCCCGAATGCTGTCTGACTGACTGACTGACTGGCAGGCGGGCAGGCCGGCCAGCTCGGAGCCTACATTTTGGCGATTTATGTGCAACAACAAAATGACAATTTGTTAGGCTAATGATGCCATTTTTCGCAGCAAATTACCTGACCATGGGCGGCGCTCATCTAACAAGCAAATAAACAAACAAACTGCCAACGCAAACACACACAACCCTAGGCATGTGTGTTTATATAGCATTCGGGCCGACTTGATTCAGTGATGTGTCACTCGAACTAGTTCCTTTGCCCCAACTCCAAATGCCCTTGTTTTGATTGAAAGAACAGAATGAAACACATAGAAAGTATTAATGTTAGTTTAAGTTCAAGATCTTTGTTATAATTAGTTATTAAGTGCCCTCTGGAAAGATTTATTTTATGAATTAAAGTCTTAAATGTTTTTTATTTGAATTTTCTATTTAACTAGTTCCTTTGCTTGAAGAGTGAATTGTTTTTTATTTCGACTTGAGCTTATTTTCTATGTAAGCATTAAAGTTTTGAATTTTTAATGATGAGCATTTAGTATATAAACGATATTATTTGCTGCCTTAATCTAAAGACCTAAAGACCGCTCCAGTGGAACTAGTTCTTTTGATTTTGAATGAATTTTGTCAACTCAAAGTTCTTTGGGAATAATAGTTATTATGTGTCCTCTCTGTAGTTTAAAAGATGCTTTTCAAGGATTAAAGCTCTAAATGTTTTTCTGGTTAACTGTAGTTCCTACGCTGCTTCATTTAATGTGTATTTTCTATAGAACTAGTTCTTTTGATTCAATCGTTCAAATCTGTGCATTAAAGCTGAATTCTTTGTGAAAAATAAGTTTTATGTTTCTGTCTCGGGGGAATCCCTTTATAGATTGAAACTCTTAATGTTATTATATTTTATTATAAAAACAGCCAAGAAATTGTATTTAACTTCGCGCATAAAACAGAGCTTTATACAAAAAATGATTAACTAGAGCTCTTGAGTTTCGACTAATAAATATTTCCTGTTTCAAATTGAGCTAGTTCCCGTAATGGAACCGTAATGACCAGCATTCGGGATATTCCGTATACGTGTAGTGGGCCAGCAAGCTGTGTGCCAAGTCAGCAAAAATGGTTTTGCTTACACAAATACTTACCTGTCATAAAAGCAAAGTACTTTAATGCTTGGGACTGGCTTTGACTGTGACTTTGACCACGCCAGCAGATGGAGGAAATCGCTCAGAAGTGAAGTTTTTGGTCAGCTCCGTTTTGGGTATTTGAGGTAAGCTGAACAAATTTCATTTTAATTAGCGCTACGTTGCACTATGCAAGCAATTCGAAATCAGCGCAACTGTTGCCAGCAATAGAATCCCCAACCGAAAGTCTATTAAGCATTGCAAAGCCAAAATGGCAGCGTAACAGGGATTTAATGCCAATAAACGGCGTGTGTGGCATGCAGACAAATATACAGATAGATAGACAGAAACCGAATGGGAGCACTTGTATCTAAGCTAACCAAGCAGAATCAACAGACACCCAACAACAAGCGAACGAACCGAACCGACTCTCTATACTTGACAGTGGAGATCAGGAGTAATCACCATGCCACAAATGCTGTTGCATGCAACGTGGCTGGTGGAACGCTTGCAAATCGCAGCTAAAGTGCAACATGCCAATGCACATGATGTGTTTAATGGTTAAATTGTTGCTAATTCCATTAGCCGTCTGCTGGCTGCATTCTGTGGCCAAAGTGTTGCAATGCCGCCAGCAACAGCAGCAGCACCAGCAACAACAATTACAGCTTCGACACCGCCGAAATACGACCCGCTGGCAAATGGAACGTGCGCTAATTAATGTTGCGCTGAGGCAATGTTGGCACCAACGGATACCGCCTACACCTCCAGACCTTCCCTTCCCTTGCCAATGGTCCTCCTCAGCAGCTGTAGCTGTACAACAAATTGGCACATTGTTTGCCCTCTCAACTGGTTTGTCAAACTAGTTTTTGGCTGGGGGCGTGCGATTGCTATTGAATCTGGCTAAATAGTTAAGTACCTCGTTGTGTTTAGGCCAACAAAATTAGCCACAATTAAACTTAAGACTGGGCTTAAATTATTAACCAAGTCAACAGGGCCACACGGAATCCAGAAAAGCTGGCAAAATATATTCTTGCCATGGAGCTATGGATTCTAATAGCAGCAAGGAAGAACTGGCCGAGTTTGGTTAAGACATATTTAAGGACTTTTTTATACAAAAACTTAAATATACTAATTAATTTTCGACTGAATATATGGAGCGTAGTGCAACTTGTATCTTTCTCTTCATTATTCTCTTCATTATTTGGACCAATCGTTTTTCTATCAGTATATGAGTATTTGCTTGAGCCCTGTTGATACTGATAAAAAATATATATACTTTATAGATTTGGACACGTCTTCTTCCATATAATTCTTAAGAGCTGAGGTTTCAACTTCTAATTGTATAAAAGATCACATTAATTTTGTCAATTCGCCTAATTTAAAGTGAACTTGAAGAGGAAATTTAATCGGCGTTCGAATGGGGCACTCATCTAAATTTATCGGCACGCATTTCCTCTCATTTCCACGTCGCTTGGCAAACAAATGCGAGCGGTATGCAAAGGCATTAAATTTGTTTAGTAAATATGCAAAATACATATACGCGTTAGAGAGCCGCATACAGATGAGAATAACGCAACGGCGGCGGTGGGTTGGGGCTTAGGGTAAGGAGGCGCAGCTCGTTCAGTTAACGCGCCGTCGCGTCGTAGTTGCCACTTTTCTATTTATTTGGCCATTAACGCTCATTTGTGGTTATCAGGTAAATTGGATAAAAGCCAACGTAGCATGAAGCCAGCCACATGCCAGGTACAAACAGCCAGCAGGCAGCACTGACAGGAGCACCTCTGGCTGTGCCTGCCACACCGTCTGCGGCTGTGGCATGTCCCCGCTCACAGGTGTCGGGTGTCGGGTGTAGGCTGCTGCTGCTGCTGCGGCTTATCTTCAAGTGTTGTTGCAACATGAAATGAAGGCTTTGCCTCAGACGCAAACAGTTTTCGGGCTATATTCATTTTGTTGCGCGCTAACTGCGCCAGTCATTAACTTTTTATGGTGTGCCATGTCGCTCTCTCTCGCTCTGACCCACATATAGCGCTCTCTTTCGCCTTTTTTGTGGCCAAAAAGCACTGCATTTACATTCAAATCGAATACAAATATTTGCGGTTCTTTCGGGCAGCATTTGTTTTAGCCACAATTTGTTTAGACTAATAAATAAAATGGCGACGATGGCGTCATAAAATTTAATTTTCATCCCAGCACACACACAAATTCACAAAAAATACATGCATTTTTATTTCTTTATGCATTTTGGACGGCACCAGAATAAAATATAAACGAATAAAAAACGAAATTTAAATGCGCCATATTGCAAGCTCAAATGAAATTTTGTGGCTTGTTGCAAAACAAGGGCAACAAAATACACGCAAAAAAAAACCTCACTAAATGCAAAGTAAATAAAAATAATTTCGTTTGCATGTGAAAACATACCCTGTATTTTAATCTAACAAAAATTTGCAATAAGTAATGGGAAGAATAAATCTCAATTCAATTTTTGACTGAAGTCTTCAAAATCTGTTTCTTTATGCCCAAAAGTATGCTATGAAAATTTTCGAGTAAATTAATAAAATAGTAAGCTATTGAAATTGTTGCAAAGTTCTCCCTATACCTTTAAGATTGTCGAATTAAGGTTTTTGTTCATTCTAAGCAATATAAGTGTTAATATATTTTAAATGGAGATACATTCTACCCAAAGCTACGAGAATATGCACAGTTTAACACTTCGGTACAGGATATTTTAAGAGGTAGCGCCTGCAAGAGAACTGAAAAGCACACACACACACTCGCACACACACACAGCCACAAACATGCACTCATATGAATATGTATTTGTATCCACAGTTGCATTGGCGACGCGTCCACTGCATGCGGTCGCTCAATATGAAAATACTTCCACATAGCATAAAGTCCACCGGTTTTGACACAGTTCAGGTTCGCAGCGTTATTTGGTGAAAGAGTGTAGAGGGGGTAGGGGGGTGGGGCTTGAGGGGTATATGGGTTGGGTTGTCGCCTTGGTGTCAGTTGGTCTGCGGTTGGTTTGCGCTAAATTAAATTTCGGTACATTGTGACCCCAAAAGTACACCACACACACACACACACACACGCACACATACACGCCCAGACACGTTTCATAATGCGCAAAGTATCGCCAAAATGTTGTGTTCGTGTGTGTGTGTGTGTTTGTGGCATTGAAATTCGAATTTTATTTTTGCACTTTTACATATCTCAAATCAACATCACCATTCAAATAGATTCCCAAGCCGGAGTCGGAGCTGAGGGGCAATTTTGCAGTCTGCTCGATTTTGTATTCGGCTAAAATGCGCAGCACAGCCATTTTAACATTTAGTAAACCCACTCGCATGCCTGAAAAAATGGAGAAAATATAGTAGATTTACAAATTGTCGAAATCCATAAAAGATAAGTAACTGCTCTGATATTATTTATGTTTTGCGCATGGCAAAGATTCAATTTGAAAGCGATATTTTCTATCGTAAGCAGTTCGAAAGGGAGTAAGATTATAAAATCGATAAATATCGATCAAGCCAAGGTTCCATACTAAGATATATCTCGCTGCTCGGATAATAAAAATATACAGAAAACAAGATAGAGCTGATATCATCAGCAGGCCGAAGATTAAATACCCTTATAGACATACGGCTTACAGTCTGGCAGGTATGTGAGGAGACTTTTTGAGAACTCACCCAGACAAATCCTGGGTCCATCGCCAAAGGGCAACAGGCAACCGCGCTTGGTAAACTCACTGACAGCCACGCTATCAAATCGTTCGGGCCTGAACTCATCGGGCTGAGGAAAATAGGTTTCATCGTGATGCAGGTGATATGTGGGGATTGTCACAGTGGTGCCCGGTTCCACCTCCAAAATCTTGTCATTGCCCAAATCCATTGTTGTGGGCCTTGTGCAGATCTTGATAAAGAAACCAATCACACTCGTCATACGCATCGATTCTACAAGCAATTTTGTTTTAATCAATAAAACAAAACGTAAATAAGCAATGATTATGTGGTTCCCATACCGTTCACACACTGATCGAGATAAGGTAGAGCATTTAGCTGTTCGTAGCTAATGTTCTTATCGACAGCGAGGGCATCCAAGATTTCGGCGCGTAGTTTTTCCTGTTGCTCTTGATACGCGCCCAACTATAATAATAAAAAAAAGAATCATTAAAATATATTCAGTCGGTTGTAACCAACTGCCCAATACTCTGCTCACAGTGTAATAAGAGCGTAAATAAAAAGAATCAATCGGCAAAAGTCTTCCAGATTATTGAGTTGATGACTCTCAAACTGTAAGGCCTTAGTTCCTATGAACTTTAAACTGTGACTAGGATAGGCCAATATACAGTTATACACCCAACAAAAAAAGGACAGCTTTACAGAGAGAAATAAGTCGGACTAAAATTTAGTTTGAACTAAGTATTTGCCTAAAGCCCATACTTGATATAAGTTAATACTACATTACTGGAATAAAATAATGAGACTGAGAATCTGCCAAGCCAATATACTCATTTAAAGCTTGCGAACAGAGTATACAGACATATACCCAACAAAAAAAGGATAGGTTTTGCGGAGAGAAATAAGTCGGACTAAAATTAAGTTCGTATAAACTCAAACTAGGTACTTGCCTAAAGCCCATACTTGATCAAAGTAATGAGAATGAGAATCTTCAAAGGCAATACTCTCATTTACAGCTTGCGAACAGAGTATACAAATGTTGTGAAATAGCTAATCAGATGAACATTACGAGAATCTTCCACTCACCGTATAGAGCATATGATAGAGCACAGCGGCCGAGGTCTCGAAGCCATCCATGAGCACAGTTAGTGCATGTCCGACCATGTCATCGTAGCTGGCGCCCTTCTCCTTTAGCTGCAGCAAATGGGCCAGATAATCGGAGCGTTCGGCGCCGCTGCCACTTAGCCGCAGCTTGGCCGCATCCCGGGTGAGTTTTAGGTAGAACTCATTCGATTTCTGTGTGAAGAAGCGCATGCGAAATAGTCTGCGTACTATGGGCGCAATTGGAGTTTGGTTGAAGCGCGTTATGCAGTGAAAGGCGTGACTGACCCACTCCATGGAGAACTGCTGGAACTGGCTGATCTCGTTGATGCCGCCGCTCAGCGAGCCCACATCAATGCCCCAGATGAAATCGCCCATGGCTTGAGCCGTATAACGATAGCATAGCTGCAATCGTTAAATTATAATTGATCAAAAGGGTTTTTCCGATTTGGAACCCAGCTACCCACATCTCTGGTCTCGATGATATTGTTGTCACGCTCCTTGATGTATCTCTGTATATAGTTCAAAAGCCTTTCACCCGTTTGCTCCCAGATGGCAAAAGCCTGCTTCAGCTTGTTGGACGTAAGCCCAGCTCCACCGTCTGTGCGTCGTTTCTTCCACTCGTCGCCCGCACTGAAGAAAGGATTACGTGCCACATATTTGTCATAGTCCTTGGAGTGTGCCACATAGCTGCTCGTCACCGTGTCCCTATAATCACTGAAATTCGTAACCAACACCTCGTGCGCCAGTTGCGGATCGAGCACCAGAATTTGCGGCTGTCGCGTCAAAAATGTGCCCACAGCGCGTTGTTTGCCCTTGTATTTGCTAAACGAAATGGAATAACAATGTTATTACAATAAATAATAATTACTAAAAGGGATCAAACTTCCGTGGGGTAGCAGATCCGTTTAAACCTACTTGTAGATCCTGCCCAGATCCCCAATGAAATTGCTGCCTCCACCAAACAGACCCGGATAGCTGCCCAGCAGCGTCAGCGGCTTGGCTGTGACCAATCCTCGCTTGTCCCAATAGCCATGATACCAGGTCAGGTAGAGGTAAACCAACGCAAAGGCGACATGCACGAAGCCCAGCAGCAACGCAATCAGTGTCCACATGTCAGCAGCACGTAGAACAAATCGAAACCGCGTTCGTTTGCCAACTGTTTGCTCAGCGCGCCGATTTAAGCCCATTTGAGCGACAGTCGCTGATAATGGGAATAATCATTATACGGTAGCCTACCATTATCTCAATAAATCTGTTGACGATCACTCGAGGTGCGTCTGGCTCCCAATAACACTTATATAAGGGCTATTGCAATTTTTTGAAGTTTGTGCAGCTAAAAATTAACTCTAAGCAAATGTTGTACTGTTAACGTTTCTCCCGTTAATTCCTTTTTTTTAATTTCTCAAATCGATAAATATCGATTTTTATCCACGACAACAATAATTATATTAGGGTACTTCCAATAGTCTAACGTTTGTACTGTGCAATATATATTAAGAAATCTAGAATCCAAAATCCACTTTCTTTAAGTATTTGCTTTTCTTTAAATTTTCTGATCCTTCAACGTTTTTCCCCTTACTACCCTTTTTCCAAATCGATATATATATCGATTTTCATCTACGGTTTTTTTATAACATTTGAGTGTCTCAAACGATTATAGACTTTGGCTGCCAACCCTGAACCCAAAAAGGAACAAATATATGTAAAATAGGTATATTTTTAGCTTTTCATGCATCTACAGAGTATCTCAGAGTCAGTCACTTTCGACTGTTAATTCATTGAATTTAATCATTCATCTAACAATTTGTATTACCCAGATTAACAGAACTCTGTTAGATAACATCTTAACATAACAGCGCTGTTATTTTCGTTGTTCTATTTCTGTTCTGTGTGGAAAAAAACTTTGAGTATTCCGTGTGTACATTTTTCATATCATGTTTATTATTTCATAATTTCATCGGGTAGCCTTCAATCAACGCTTGGTCATCGAACTTGGATGCTGTGGGATCTTTAATGATAATATGTACTTTATAAAGCTTCAATAACAGCGATCGATTGCAATGTCAAGCGGCCATAATAAATCCGAGTCTGAATCGGGTTGGAACAGGTTTTCGAGCTGGGAAGATCTTTCCAGCCCGAAAGATAACCCATGACATTTGATTAAAGATCAAAATATTTATATTTATATAACAAATATACCCCATAAGTAAGTAAGGGGCATCATTTAATAAACAACAATTGAATTTTTGCACTCACTTATAATCATTTCTAAATACTTTTCAAGTCTCGACACATGCGATAAGTACACATGATTCGCGTTGTAATAGTAGCTAGGTAGACTCTATTGTAAAAATCGTCGATACTCCAAATTGATATCACCTTGGAGTACGACACCAAAACCAGAATCTCCGGCTGTTTTAATCTTCTTCTTGCTCCGCACAACTTGATAGTTACTGATAATGTGAAACAGCGCCGATTTGAGTGTGAGCAGAGCGAGACGCATGCCTAGATAAAGTTGGGGAATTTTAGATAAAATATATCAATATATAAAACTGATATTTGAACCGATTTTGTTACCCATGCAAATGCGCGGACCATCGCTGAAGGGCAACAAAATACCCTGTCGCACGAGATTATGATGCTCGGCATTGTCAAAGCGTTCGGGCTTAAATGCCTCCGGTTCGGGAAAGTATTTCGGATCATGATGGAATTGATAGTTGGGTATCATAATGGTCATGCCCTGCTCCACCTCCACACGCTTGAACTCATTCAGCTGGATGTTCGTGGGATGCGTGCAGACTTTTGTGTACTGTGGTATCAAGCTGCTCAGCCGCAAGGATTCTGGAGAGAACGAAATCAAAGTGAGCTCTCCAAAGGAATGAATACGCCCAATACGAACCGTAAATAACCTGCTCCAGATAGGGCAAGTCACACAGCTTATCAAAGTCCAGAGTTTTAGTCTTTGTCGCATTGTTGAGGAACTCCGTGCGCAGCTTTTGCTGGGCCGCCGGATACTCCGACAGCTGCGATGATGTGACTTAGGGCATGAGTCAAGAACAAACACTTGCACTTACTCACATAATAAAGGGCGTGCATCAAAGCCGATCCAGTTGTATCATAACCATCCAGCATAACCGTCAGAGCATGTCCCACCAGATCATCGTGCGTGGCATTTTTCTCCTCGCGCAGCCTCAGCAGATGCGACAAATAATCGATGCGTTCCACCTCGTAGCCGGTCTTCAAGCGCAGCTCAATGGACTCCTTGGTCAGTTTCGAAAAGAACTCGTCCGTATCCTTGGGATAGAAGCGCAAACGCAACAGCAAGCGACTAAATGGCGCTATTATCGACGCCATAAATATGGATATCATATAGAACGCATAACTCGTCCATTTGCTGGCCATTTCCTGCACCATATTGGGCAGACCCTGTTCGTCCGAGGTCAATGTGCCCGCATCGATGCCCCAAATAAAGTCACACATGACATCAGCTGTATAGCGAAAACAGAGCTGCAGATGAGGACATTTATGAGTACTTTACTGACGAGTTAGGAAACCGGGAAAAGTGGAAACCTTGATAGAAAAGAATAGCTTAAACAATTGATTCATTTTTAAAAGTTATAAAAATGGTTTTAACGAAATGAGGTAATCTTCGGCACGTCGAAGGCATCTTAATCTGGCAACATTATTCTTGCTCAAAATTCATGTAAAAATGGTACCCTTAAATATCCTATAGAGACATAGGTCAAAATTTCCCACTCCCATAACTCGGTCAAGTCTCATCAGCTTTCCACGAGGTTTGGCTTTTTGTTCAAGGTTTGAACTCTAGATCAATTTGGCATATAAGTCTAACAACACTATTTTTACTCAAAATTCATGTAAAACTGTTACCACCAAATATCCTATATAAGCATAGGTCAAAAATTCCCACCCCCATAACTCGGTCAAATATCATCCGATTTTCACGATGATTGGCTTTTTGGTCATGGTTTGAACTCTAGATCAATTTGGCATATAAATCTAACAACACTATTTTTACTCAAAATTCATGTAAAACTGTTACCACCAAATATCCTATATAAGCATAGGTCAAAAATTCCCACCCCCATAACTCGGTCAAATATCATCCGATTTTCACGATTTTTGGCTTTTTCATCGTGGTTTTGCCTCTTTATCAACTTGGCATCTAAATCTGGCAACATTATTTTTACTCGAAATTCATGTAAATATCAACCCTATATAGGCATAGGTCAAAATATCCCACCCCCATCAGTTGGTCAAATATCCTCCGATTTTCACGATGTTTGGCTTTTTGTTCATGGTTTTGCCTCTTTATCAACTTGGCATCTAAATCAGGCAACATTATTTTTACTCGAAATTCATGTAAATATTAACCCTATATAGGCATAGGTCAAAATTTCCCACCCCCATAACTCGGTCAAATCTTCTCCGATTTTCACGATGTTTGGCGTTTTGTTCATGGTTTTGCCTTTTTATCAATTTGGAATCTAAATCTGGCAACATTTTTTTTCACTCAAAATTCATGTAAGAATGGTACCCTCAAATATTCCATATAGGCATAGGTCAAAATTTCCCACCCAATAAGAATAGAATACCATCTAGCCATGTCTATGAACATTAAGAATTTTAGCAAATTGTGAAATTATGTATACTCTTTGAATTTTCTTACTCACATCCCTGGTTTCCAGTATATTGTTATGCATGTTCACGTGCTGGGCCATGTAGTTGGTCAGCTTCTTGCCGCTCTGCTCCCAAATGGCATAGCCCTGCTTGAGGCGATTCGCGGATAGGCCAGCCTGAGCCTCGGTGCGCAGCCGCCGCCAGGTATCGCCCGCTGCCCAGAACGGATTGCGTTTGGCGTACTTATCCCATTTGGCGTGCTGCATGTAGGAGCTGGTAAGGGAATCTCTATAGCAACGGAAATTCTCAACCAGCACCTCGTGCGCCAGCTGCGGATCGAGCACCAGAATTTGTGGTTGTCTTGTGACAAAAACGCCCACAGCTCGATGTTTTCCCTTGTACTTGCTAGTTGGAGGGAGGGAGGGAGGGAGGCATGTTTTTACGCCGTAGTATACCAAATGCCGTACTTACTTGTAGACACTCTGCACATCCTGGACCAGGTTGCGCTTGCGTGTGAGCAGTCCCGGATAGGTGCCCAGCAAGGTGAGCGGCTTGGCTGTGAGCAAGCCGCGTTTGCGCCAATATTTGTGATGCCAGGTGAGGTACAGGTAGACGGGCAGCAGCAGCAAATGGAGCAGCACAAGGATTAGGGTGATCAATATATACATGTTGCCACGCTTCGTATTGCGACAGCCCCAGCCGCCAGTTTTCAATTGATTTGAATGCGAATGCAAGTGCACATTTGACTCGAAATCATTTTTCGCAGGCAACATGCTGCTTTATCTCTGGCCTGCTCTCAGATTATGCGATCGATCCAAAAACAAATTCAAAGAAATATTATATACCTATGTATATTTGTGTAGTAAATACATTGACAACCTAATCTTACTCTAATATATTTAGACTCATTTCGAAGCATACAAGTTGCTTTTATGATAAGCGCTCATCTCCAAAAGTCTCGACAGGCTGAAGCGCCTGAATAAATATTAATTTTAGTTGGAAATTTAATAAATATAGTATTAAAATTAATATATTTTTATATGGAATTTTTTTTAAGGCCTTCATCTTGTATAGTAAATTGTAGTTGCAGATGGGAAGTATATTTATAAGAAAACTTGACAAGTTTTACTCTTTAAATATTTAATTTTTAAAACATTTAAAAATAGGTTATAGCTTATATATCTTAGTTAGCGTAAGTTTCAAGGAATCAGTCAGTGTTATTGTGCTGCGAGCTATATAAATAGGTAATTATTCATTTAAGCACAAATATTGCTATTAAGTTTGGATTGCTACTTCAATCTTATTGTTTATTTAATTTGATTATTGTCCTAAGACAGATTATAAACAAAAACCGATATAAAACAACTAGAAAAATAAAAAATTATAAAAGTATAGAATAGTATAGAAAAGTATAGCAAATTAAGATATTTAAGTTCTTTTTAAAAATATAAATAATATCAAGACAAGTTGTGCTTAAATATAAATAAATAGCCCCACTTAACGTACGACTATTTTATGTGTTTTGAAAGAACTAAAAGTAAATTACTTTAATATACTATAGTTTAATATATAATATGTATTTTGTATGTTTTTTATTTTGCAAATGACTTTCATATTATTCTTTTATTTACTATACCTTACTATACTTTTTATATAAAGTATATTAGTTATTTTTTCAGCCCAGTTCATTTTATATTCAAACGCTTTTAGAGTGTCTAATACTTTTAGCATTATGATTCCAATTTATAGACGCATCTAATTGCTGGAAGTTTGAATATTATTATACAGATTCAAATGCCCCTCGTCATATTTTATAGTTTTATTGTCTTCACTAATTGTTTTCCTTTTTCGTCTGTCTGCCGGGTTTCCTTGTTATCTTATCCATTCTCTCAGTCATTAATCATCTATAGTTCGGCTTGCACAACGATCAGTTGAGCAATAAACTTTCCATAAAATAAAACAAAAGATAATGAAATAGAATGAACAATATTATCGATTAGAATAAAATATATGTTGCATATAATATTAAATAGAATAGAAAATAATTGAATAGAATATAACTATAAATATAAATAAAAAAAATAAATAAAATTAAATAAAAATATAAAATAAAAATTCATATCAATATTAAATTGAAATAAATATAAATATCAAATTAAAGTAATAATAAATATAAATATAAAATAAAAATAAACAAAAATAAAAACAAATAGTAAAATAAATATAAATATAAAATAATATTAAAGAATAGCAATATTAATATAAAATCAAAATAATTATAAAAAAATATATATATATACAAGATAAAGTATATTGATAGAGATATTTTTAAAATGTTGTCCTTAAGTAGTTTAGGTGTGTTTAGGGATCGAACTCCCCCGAAAATAACCAATAATTTACTCAAATTTTTGTAAATAATTATCAGCTTAATGTGAGCTGCTTTGTTAAAAAGAAATAATAAGTCGGTCGAACTGAAGTGTTATATATATATATATATGTTATGTTCAGCTGATAGATAAGCACCATCTCGATGAGGTTTTGGGCGCACTCCAATGTTTTCCGCCAAACGCTGCTTATCAGTCAGGCGCCATACATCATGATGTAAAGTGGCAACAGATAAGCGATATATGGCAGATAGATAAATAAAATAAAATGAATAGGCAAAAAGCAGCACGAAAAATGCGAATCACAACTATTTAAATGGGCCTAGGGCCACAGACATTTTATCACGTCTATATAAACAAACAAATAAACGAACCAGCAAAGCGTTTCGTGTCTTATCGACATAGAGCTTTAATCCAATGTGGTGCTGGCTGCGGCGGTGGCTGCTTATCAGTTGGCTAATTTATAACCATATGACCGATAAAAAGTTTAATGGGAGCTGCGCCTGATAAACAAAAGGCTTTGTTATTTCTCATTTTAATAATTAAAAAGAAAACTATGCATATGTGTGTGTGTGTGTGTGTGTGTGTATAAACAATAAATCGCCATAGAAGCTAGGCTCACAAAATAATTGACATGTAACTTGGCCTATAAACAGACGAGTTAAATAAATTGGCCTTAAATTGACAGCATAATTAATTTGTTATTTGTGTAATTGTTTACGAATTGTTTAATTTGTACATTTTATGGTTATGACATTGAAATCGATTGTTTTGTTAAATTAAACACATTCTTGTTTGTTAATTACTTTAAAAATTTAATAAGTTTTACAGTTCTGTTGCTGTCTCTAATCCATAGAACAGACACACCTCTAACCACAGTCTTAACTAGCGACAACCCGACACGACAAGCTGAATCTCATATTTTTCTTGATTGTTCTTGTTTGTTTTTGTTTTTGTTGTTTCTTTCTTCGGTTAAAACAATAACAATAATTGGAAAAAGAAAAGAAAACAATGCATTGCATAACAAATGAATCTTCTGGGGCCGCGCACTAGCTGTGCTCGTACTTGCAAATGACCGCAAACATCTTGTCGCCGCCGAGATACTTGGCTAGCCAGCGATTCTTGACGACGGCCAGCTTAAGGGTCTCGCAGGCGAACTGCGCATTCAGATTGGTGTGCAGCGCCCGGCCCATGCCCTCGATGACAAGCAGATCAGTCTCATTGGCAGCTATGGCATCGCACAGCTCGGGCGGCAGCGTGCGCATGTCCAGGCAGGGACCGCTCTGGCCGTTCGCATAGACCAGCAGTCGGCGGGAGCGCCAGGCGTTATCCAAAATGCTGCACTGGCAGGCGCAATCGTCCAGCAGCGCGCTCAGCTCACGGCTGGTCACATCGTTTAGCGAGGGTTCACTGTTGGCACAGAGCAGCACCTTGGTGCCGCGCCTGAGCAGCTCGCGGACAAATGGCAGCACACCGAGCACCACATCGACGCCGCTGTTGTCCACAAAGATGACGGCGCATTTGTGTGGCGGCTGGGCGGCTGTGATATGCATTCGCTGCAGCCATCCATCCAGATTGTCCAGCAGCCAGGGGCGCTGTTCGATGCGCTCCAGTGCCGCATGCAGTCCAAAATTGCTATCCTGCTCCAGTATGCTGGCTATGGCCTGGGCGCCCCAATCGAACATGTTGCCCGCCAGCACGCCGCGCACCAGTTCCGTCCAGCGCGCATCCTCGTTCTCAATGGCATCGATCTCCTGCAGACGCTGCTTTAGACGCGCCTTGGCCGAGGCATTCTCCTGCTGCTTCTGGCGCAGCCAGGGATCCGTGAAGCCAAAACGTCGCAGCATAGTCTCGTTCAGCTTGAGCAGCTCGCTGGTGCCCAGGACCACTTTACCACTATTGTTGGCTATGTTATTTTGATGCTCCTCCAGCTGGCGCAGATATGCGGCCTGAAACTGTGCCGCACGTTGCTCGGCGCTGTCATCGTCCCTTTGGCTGCTAGCCGCCTGTTTGGCAAATTTGTTTACCAGCTCACGGAAGCAGGGAAACCAATAGGCCGCCGCCTTCGCATCTGTATTGAGATCCAGCGTGTCCGGCTGATAGTTGGCCTCATCCTGCAGTAGCGTACAGCTGTGCATATTGTTGCTATTGCCTGTCGACGGCACTTTCAACAGTGTACGCTGAATGGGGCGCTTTAATCGTGACAAAATGTTGACGGCCGTTGCTCTCAAAGTGCGCACTAATATTATAATGCCTCAATGTAAATTCGTTTGTGTTTCTTTTCTTTCTTTTTTTATTGTTTTATCACAACCGCACATTGGACAGCACTGGCAGGGTAACAACAAACGCATTTTGCCACAACAGCTGACGAAAACGTAAACATGTGAATGGCATTTTGGTTGTTCGACTTTGCTTTTGGCAGCTGAAATATGGCACATTAGATGTCATTTATTTTACTTTTAACATTTAAACAGCTAACGCCACCATTTGCTTTTTAAATTGTTATTTTCGTACAGCTTTTATGCTGCTTTTTAATAAATATTTATTTGCCGCCTCTACGATGTTCATAGCTTTTAGCTTTCGTCCGCATGCTGCCGGCAAGCGCAGCCAAGTTCACGCCATGGCATTGACAGGCCGTCTCTTTCCTGTTGAATTTTTTGACAAATCAACAACTTAAAAATGGTACGAATGTACAAAAATCGTTAAATATTTAAGCAATCGTTGTTTTTTGTGCGCCAAAAAGGCTTTTAAACGAACAAGCCAACTGTGTGCTGTTAGTTGGTCAAACAATTTTGTGATTAGATTGCTTTTGAAACGCACAAAGTGACATTGCGCCAATTGTGTTGTCTTGTTTTCTACTAAACGCCTTATTTGATTTCCCCCACACAGGCCAAGCGCACCAAGAAGGTTGGAATCGTTGGTAAATATGGTACCCGTTATGGTGCCTCGCTGCGTAAGATGGTCAAGAAAATGGAAATCACCCAGCACAGCAAATATACCTGCTCGTTCTGCGGCAAGGTAAGCAGCTAGCGGCGCATCCTGATTTCACAATCGAAATACTAATCAAATGCATTTTGTAGGACTCCATGAAGCGCTCGGTGGTGGGCATCTGGTCGTGCAAACGCTGCAAGCGCACCGTTGCCGGCGGTGCCTGGGTCTATTCCACAACGGCCGCCGCTTCCGTGCGCTCTGCCGTGCGTCGTCTGCGTGAGACCAAGGAACAGTAAATGGCTTATGGGATTTCAATGCTCCGTTACGTTTAAAGTTTCCGTAGTTTTATAGACAACACACAATTTTCTGTGGTTTGCGCCGCGCCGGTCGAAAGAGCTGTTATGCTTTATCTGAAAAGCATAAAGTGAAAAACAAAAAAAGAAAACAACAAAAATAAAAATGAATTTTTACTTCAGTAGATGGTTAAAGTGACATTTTTCGTAATACCCTGTAACCAATGTAAATTGTGCAGATATTCTCAATATAGCCTGTACCCAAAGTTAAGTGGTCAAAGGGTTCTCTGAAGATGGAGCAGATTAATGCTTGTGACATTTATATATATCTTCAATATCCTGTACCCATTGTAATGTGGTCAGTTGTCTTGATATTGAGTAGATTACGGCTTGTGGCATTTCGAGCTTTATATTCTTGGTCCGTCAAGATTACAAGATTTGCCAATTCAATTCGGCTCTATTGCATATCACATTGAGATAAAAGGGAACTCTATTTCCAGGGAGCAAACCATGCGCCATTTAAAATACATATATGCACATTAGATATAGTAATAGGGCATCTCTAAGTCGACTACCTTTGCAGTATTGTAAAATTGGCCAAAAAAAATGTGCACATTGGGTACGTTTCTGGACCTGAAGCATATTTAGGACTAAGATACTGTTGTCCGATAATATTGCTTATATATATCAATAAGATATCTTAAAGCAAGCTATATCTATAGTTAGCAGCATTCGTCCGATTTCTACAATCAAAATTATATTAAGTATTCAATGGGCTGTACCAGGACTGGCTGTCAGTTGTGGCCAGTGTTGTTAAACGCCAAATAAATATTAGATCAGCTAAAAGATGAACAGCCGAGCTTTTCACAACACTTGGAATTTATTTTGTTTCTTTTTAGTTTTTCATTCGTTTCCATCGGTTTTATTTATAAAATTTAAAAAGTTTCTAATTGAACAAAAATAATTACATCTTGCAACTTGGTGGCTTGAAGTTTCTCTTGTTACCTTTGGATAGAGTTCGAAAACGAAAGAATTACAAATAATATTTAGCTAAACTAAATAGGAGGTTTTGGATGCCGTCCAGCCTGTCGCCTGTTGTTGCTTGATTGGATCTGGTTTTGCTAAGTTTAAGGCTAAAATTAAAATTGCACCGTCACCATGTATATATATATATATATATATCTATTACTAAATATGTATATGGTTTTCTTTTTTAAAATTAATTTAGCTAAAACGTTTTACTTGGCTTTTACAGATTTGTTGTGTATATAAATATATATATGTGCGTGTGTGGGTGGATATTTTGGGATATCAGGTTAGACTTTTGGATACAATGTTTAAATATTTACACAACAGCAAAAATAGCGTTAAATTTGAGCACAATTTGTTGTTTGTTGAATGTTTTTTTTTTAAGAGCTGTTGGTTTTTGTTTTTTGGAGCTACGTTTTAGTTGACGCAAAACTTTCGACTAAGTCTAAACTCTAAATTCGAACTTAGAGAAATACCTAAGACTAAATGCAATTTATAGTACAATTTTTGCATACACACACATAATATACATATACATATATATATATATATATAAATAATTCATTTAAATGTATATTTTTAATAACTACTCTCTAAATTATGTACATTTTTATACGTATATTCATATCATCCATAAATATATATGATATATATGTGTGGACCTTAACGAAATATTTTCTTCTGTTTTTTTTTTACACTGTTTTATGATATGCGTGCATTTTATTTTATTTTTAGTTTCGTGTTTTTTGAAAAGAATTTTGTTTGTTTATGATTATGATTTGTTTAGAAGCATTTTTGTTGTTGTTTATGATATGGAAATGCAGCGCATTTGTGATTTTTAACAAGAATTAGATTTTTATCATTTGGTACAAAGCGAAAGCGGGTCGAAATAAACGAAGTTTAGAAACTTAAATCTTAAATATATTGATATTTATATATATATATATATTTATATGTGTTACAACACAACGCCTGATAGTTATAAGAGCTAGGGAATGTGCGGGCTGCTCTGCCTTTAAGCATACACTATATATGTGGGTATATGTTAAACTTGGTTTAGTCGTTCTGCTATGACACATATTAGTTTTAGTTAGTTACAGTTATATGCGTATATTTGTTTCTTTTCTTCATGTTGTTGTTGTATTCCTTGTGAAGCACATTGTCATTTAAATGCCAATTTATTGGTACTTGGTCGGGGCTAGGTAATACGTATACGTATATATTACAAATCTATGCATTATAGTACATAAAACTAAACGCACACATACATACTATATATAAACATGTATATATATATTTATGCACTTATGTATACATATATATATATATATATACACACACACACACGCACGCACGTACGCACATCAATTGGGAAGACATTCGGCAACACACGCACACAGATACAGAAAAAACTATCATCTTAGACTAAAACGTAGTACATAAATTAAACAGGAGAGAAAAAAATGCTTGAAATCCTTGCTAGTAACTCAGCTCCTTATCCTACGCCTGGCTCCTGCTCCTACTTTTTATCATGCTCCTGTTTTTATCCTCTCCTCCTGCTGCTGGCAACTTAGTTAACAGTTAAACACAAATTGGAAGTTCTAAGTTTAGTTTTAGTTAATCTTTCTAGCTGGCTAGCTAGTGCGCCTGCCACTTGAACTTGGACTCCATCAGCCACTGCTGCCCCTTGGAATAGTTGCAGGGCCGCAGCAGCGGCGTGCTGGCATCATCTCGCGTGGCACGTTGCAAGCACTGACCCGTATTCGTGTGTCGTATCCATTTCTCCTGCAATAAGTTGTTCTTTTAGTTTTGCGTTTTCATTGGATTTATATCTGGGCGAGACACTTTACCTCCGCATCGTATACCCATTCCTGATTGCCGCCCATATTGTGGCAGCGCACCATATTCACTGGCCCACTGGAGCTGGCCGCATCCAGGCACAGATCGTCGGACATGATCTGTTGCCGTTTCGTATAGGCGAACACCTGATTGCCGCCAAGACCGTGGCAATAGCTGCTGCCCACCTTTTCGTTATACTTGCGGCCCATTGTGTCCAGGCAGGTTTCAGTCTCTGCATTGCGTATCTATAAATATGGATTTATATATTAATAAGGGCACGCCCCCTAATACTCGAAAGCCTACCTCGCCTAGATAGTAGTAGTCCAGCGGCATTAAGCTTTCCGGATAAACGTTCTCCAGATACCAGCGGAAGCTCTTGCATTGCAATCGATCGCGCAGAGCTTTGCGATCGCTAACATCTCCGGCTGAAGCTTTGCGAGCGCCTAAAGTTGCAAAGGGGGTAGAGAAGAAAAAATAGTGGGTTTTCCTGGTTAAGCAAGCTTTCACGGAAATTGGTTTAGAACATTTATGTTAGTGTGAGTGTAGGTGTTTTTTTTTTCTTCTTCTGGAAGCTACATTCGTGTTTGTTAAAAGCTTTTTACTGGCTGTGAGGGGATTAAATGTGCAAGCAGCTGAGCAACAAAAAGACTGTGCACAATTTTTAAACTAAGACACAAAATACCGTTATATACAAAACATGCAACAAAAATAATTTATATACATATATACAAATAATATATGCCAAGTAAAAAAAACAGCTTAAAGCTAAGTCAAGAAGATGTTAGGGGTATTCAAGTGCAAAATTTTTAGGGCATTACGCGGAATACCCGAAAAAAATACCGAAAAATACGAGCTAAATAATGGGTTTTTTTTACTAATGTGTGTGGTTGGTGTTGAATAAGGGGAGGGGGACATTTAACGGGCTTCGAGTGGTAAAACGTGTGGGTGAACTATTTTTTTTTGGACAAAACAAATGAAAATAGAACAAAACTAGGAAACTAAATAGACATAACGGAACCTTAAAGAGAAAGAGAGTGAGAGAGAGATGGGACAAGAGAAGACAAAAGAACTCAAGTAAACAATGGACAAAACAAATACATATACAGGGTGAGCAATTTGGGGGTTGTGGGTGATTTGGTTGTTTGTTGGATTTGTCACGGCCATGCCATAACTTATATACATATATAAGTATGTAAAAATATATATGCATATTAATATTTGATATAACTAGATTTTATATAATATATATGTGTGCGTAGTATGTAAGACAGACAATTGCAAAATGCAGAGCGTGCGACTTGCTCGATAAATATATATATATATATATATACGAAACAAACTTTATATATAAAGGGAGACAGAGAGAGAGAGAGAGAGAGGCAGAGAGTGTGTGAGAGAGACGGAAAGTGAAAAGCATTCGATAAGAGATTTTTGTTTTTGAGTTTTGATTTGTAGTTGAGTTTCGTTAACCTGGATAAAAACTGTAGTAGAACTCTTTCCAGTCGTCCAGCCAAACCTCAACCAGACGCGCATTATTATGATTAACAATCTCCGTGGTGCCGCCTGGGAAGGTATATGGGGTTGACTTGCGAAAGACATGACCGACCCGGGAGCAGGGCGCTATCTCGAGGAGACCGCCACACATCCAAACCTGGAGTAGCGGCGGTTTATCAAGAAGTAGTTATCGAGAGCACGCAAATAAAGAAAAATAAAAAGAGTGGACGAAAGAAGGCAGAGAAAGATGTACACATATATACACATATATAGATAAATATCTATTCATATATAGATCGAGTGCTGATTACTTTATAGCCAAGCGCAAACTATGATGCTGTGCAAACACAAGACTTGGGTAGAGCGTTCCCTAAAAGCTAAGAGGGTGCCAGATTTGGACTAGGTTAGCACTTGACTTAAATAGTTAATGCAAATCAGAGAATAGTTCCAGTGACTAAGGAAATTACCGAGTTGTCTTTTGGCTACTCTTTGAAAATATAGCGAATAGCGAATTGGTACTCTAGCGCATTTAACCAATACTTAATTGTAACGAGTAGTTGTCATAAGTAGCGATAGCTACTGATATGCATTATTAATAAGTAACGAGTACTTATAGCGAGAGGTTTAAATTGTAACGAGTAGTTGTCATAAGTAGCGATGGCTATTGATAATCATTCTTAATAAGTAAAGGAGCAAAGGCTCATAACGAGTAGCGCTTACAACAATAACGAGTAATTGGCCACGAGGCTCATAACGAGTAGCTGTCAGCATGAAGACTTACAAATGGTAGTTGTCATAAGTAACGACTGCCAACCACTAGTAGTTGCTCTAAGTAACGAGTGCCTCCAACGAGTAATAGTAATAAGCATAAAAACTTATAACGAGTAGCTGTGTTAAGAAAATACTTTTAACGAATAGCTTTTGTTGGCAAGACGACTCTTCAATCAAAGTGAATTGCTTTAACGAGCAAAGTAAAGTGACGCAAAGTGCTTGACGACAACAATCCTAGCCCACAACGAGAGACGCCTACATATTATGTAGCGAGTAAAGATGAGAAAAATAAAATCATATTAGTAACAACTTAAGAATAAAAAACTAAATTACTAAAATTAATAGCCAATTCGTGTTTAAAGTACTTAAATTTGAAATCAAAACGCAACGAGTATTATGTACGTTAAGTTTAGCTTAAGTTCAGTGTTAAGATTTCAATACAACTGTGATAGGTACTCGTTATTATATATGTGTGTTAACGTGTTATATGTTATAGTTATCATAGTCGTTGTTTTCATATATAGTTTTGGTTAGTTATAAGTTAATAACAAAATGGCGCTCTTGGCTGTTGCCGGCGTCTCGTTCGACATGAGCACAAAATTCAAGAACATTTAGAAGAGTCTCGTTAATAATGGACAAAAAAAAATTAATAAATATACAATCAGTAGCACACTAATTATAATTATTATTAAATAAAACATATGCCAGTGCGTACATCTGATTAGTCTTGTAAATGGGTTAAACGACATTTTGGTTAAGCGACGACAGAGGCATTAGCTTTTGGTATCATATTGTGTGTTACATTACATTACATAATATGCATGTAGTATATAGTTAGCTAGTTATTATATAGTTCGATTATACATATTATTTTGTATTCAAGAGGTTAACACAAATTGCTTTTATAATATAGTTTAAATGTTGGAAAAACTTGATGCTTCTTGTTATGCTCAAAATAAAGTCAATTGTTTGTGTTTAGTGTTTTTAGTAGCTTGTTCTAGAGCCTCAATCGAGCTTTAGTTGTTCTTTTTTTATATACCCTTGCAGTTGTTATAAGAAGTGTGAAGTCTGAATTTATTTCCATGAAAATTGGTCGAAAATTTCTAGTCCAAAACCTTTAGAATTGGATCACAATAATATAATGATATAATATCGAGGACAAGAATGAATGTCGGACTTTCTATTGATATAAAATTCAATCACGGAAAGAGATTGTATCACCTTTTTATTTTTAATTCGGACGAAAAATCTAGTTCCCTCCCTGGTGGAAATGGGTTTCAAAGATTTGCTCTCTGGTGGAATTGGATTTTAAGAATTTGGTGGATAAAATTTCAATTGGTAACGTTGGTAAAATGTGAAAAATTGGCGGAATACAGCTAAAGAATCCACATTAAATGTCTGCAAGGGTATTTAAGCTTCGGCAGACCGAAGAATACAATTTTCTCAATTTTTAGTTTTTAGTAGCGAGTGAAAGCCAATTAAAATTATTATTATTTAAAATCAAATTCAGGTGTTAGATGCGCACTATATAATTATGTAAGTAGAGTCGGTTATTGTTTATGTTGTTTTCTTGTCTTGTAGAGAGTTTGTTTTTTGATTTTTGATTTTTAGTTGTTGTTTTTTGTTTGGTTTTTAAATATTTTCGAACCTGTGCTCATTGCATAATAGAAATCACGCCACTCATCCAGCCATACCTCGGCCACCCGCGCCGCATTATGCAGCACAATTTTGGCAACGCCGCCCGGGAAGGTGTACGGCGACTTGTCGCGGAAAACGTGGCCCACATGCGAGCAGGGTATAATTTCTAAAATGCCTCCGCATTGCCATATCTGAGAATTGTCATGGATTGTTGTTGTTTGTGTGTTGGTTGGTTGTGATTAGAAATATTTTTCACAATTCAATTTTTCATTTCATTTAAAAGTAAAATAAGAACAAACAAAAAAAAAACACAGAAAAATTGTGACATAAATGAGGGGAAAGAAAATGAATATAATTATGATAATTAATGTAGGCAAATGGGCAACATTTCTTTTTTTGATTTGATTTTTTTTTTTTGCGTCTTGGCTGTAGCTGTAAGAACGAATAGAAAAACCATAGAAGATCATATTGCATGGAAATTTGCCTTACTCGAAACGACATTTCCAGATTCTCGCCACCCCAAATGTCCATGCCCTCATCGTAGGAGCCAATCTCATAGAAGTAATCCTTATCGATGGAGAACAAGCCACCAGCCATTGTCGGTGTACGCAGCGGGGCTGTGCGATCATTATTGCGTCTGGCCATCTCACGCTGGGGCACACGATACCTAGAAATTTTAAATCCAATTAGATTTAGCCACAAGTCCAATGACACTTGGACTAATCCAAGCTTATGCTTGGATTAATCTTGCTAGACCAAAGTAGAAAGGTATAAAACTCACAGACGACACTTGCTTAAAGTTAAGCTTAAGTTTTAGACTCATGTTAATACATAACTTGCATTGATTCTATATAAGTATCTTTGTTCACATTTGTCACACTAACTAATAATATCCAAGTAATTTGCCTACTTAAACCCACCATCTAAAGTTGAGCTTCCAGTTGAAGCCGCCCCACGTTGAATCCGAGGCGGTAATGTACTCGAACGTCTCATCGGAGATGACATCAATGATGGGACACACCACGGTGCGACGATTCTGAACAATGCGCGCCAACAAAGGCTCGAGCCAGCCCTCGGTGCATTCACAATGTGCATCCAGGAAGGTGATAACCTCGCCAGTGACATGCTCAGCGCCCAGGAGGCGAGCGCGTATCAAACCGGAACGTTTCTCCGTGCGCAGCACGAACGTACGAACTGGCAATTTGGCCACATAATCCTCCAGCTGTTTGCCCAGGAAGTCTACAAAAGCAGGTGAGACGTTAGATATATGAGAAATTTAGAAGATTCAGCTACCCCTAGCTTACCCCTCTCGCTGGCATCGTCCACCAGTATGATCTCCTTGAGCAGGGAGCGCGGCGAACGATTGATGACACTCCAAACGGTGCGCAGAAGCGTCGTCCACGCTTCATTATGGAATACTATCACAATTGAGGTGGTGGGCAGCTTTGAGGGATAGTGTTTGTGCCGGCAACTAAATGGAGGATAAATAATTCACATGAATAGATTCTTGCTCCACTTGCTTCAACGGCACACTCACTTCTCGTGCCGCACATCTGTTAGCGAGCGATTCAATGAGATCATATCACTGGCCAATAGATTGAATTGATTCTCCTTGAACTTCTCCTTCATGAGATCCTTCATGTCGGCGGGTATTTTAACGGGTTTACCCATCTCGCCCGGTTTGCCACGCGACTCACGCACCGTGGGCGCTTGGAACCATTTTTTCAGCACCAGGCTGCGATAGGTCATCGAAATGCCCCCAGAGACAAAGCCCTGACCCATAATGGGCGCAATCCCAGCGCTATCCTCGGCATCCAATGATTTTTCCGTATTGATTTCATTGTCATTCACCAGCTGATTGTCGTCCACCAAACGCTCAGCGTTGGGCTGCTGCGAGGGAAGATATAGGTTGATATATGAGATGGGTAACTCTGTTATCTTTATAACATTTACTTACCTCCACATCATATTCGCCGGCTCGCCTGCAACGCCAGCCATCCTTGCCTATACAGTCCGAATAGTGGGCTATGAGCACAAAGTCAAATATGACCCATACCAAAGAGGTGAGCAGCACGATGCGGCAGGTGTTTGAGCGCATGCGTCCGCGCATTTTGCGTGTAAAGCTTTGCAGCGTCATGTTAACTAAGTTTGTCAAACTGTTATTGTTTGCTGTTGGTGCTGTTAGAACTAACTGTAAATTTTGTGTTGAGTGCGACAAATTTGATTTGTTACTGTCAGTCAATCAGTTTATCTGGCAGCAGTCAGCTTCTGTCTGTTTGCGTGGCTATTTATTGCTGTGTGCAGCGACACTCATGTTAACAGCGCACTGTTAGTTTTGAGTGAGTTTTTGCTTACTGTTGGCCAGACTGCTGTTAATTTGAAGGATATGTTATGGTTGTGGGTGGCTGTTATTGTTTATCGTATGTTAACAGTGTATAACTTTTCTTATCAGACTTATTGTTTGACACGCGCCGTGAACTCTCTCTCTCTCTCTGTCTTTTTTATAGTTTGAATTGCTTTGAATTTTATGTTTTTATTGTTGTTATGGTTGGTTGGCACATTTGTGGAGCTGTCGCTCTCTCTGTCTCTGTCTCATGCTACGCACAGACAAGGCAAGATCTCAGCCGCTGCTGCTGCTGTTGGTTAACTAGTTGCCCTTCTTGTCGCATCCTCTTCTCACAGTTGCTTGCGGCTGCTCCATTGAGACGACGTCCAGCTCCAGTATCGCCTCGGCCAGCTCATGCCCCACAACCAGTTATGTCGCCCCCCTTCGCTCTGCCACTATTCCTCGCTTCCGCACGCACCGAAAGACCTTGAGAAACTAGTCAACTGCAAAGAAAGCAAAATGGAAACAAAAACCAACATTATTTAATAATCCAACACATCAACAAAAAATGACCATAAAATTATATTTTATGTATGTAAATATGGTTGAAAACCGAAAGTTTTATTTGTATGGATTGCGAGCTTTGGCCAACAACAAACACTTCACGCTTTTGATTAATGTTAAACACGAAATCGACACGAAAAAATGATTTGCGATTTTTGTTTTTGTTTTTTGTTTTGTTTACAGTTCCATTGGAAAATATATATGTAATTAAATACATAAATATTTTCACGATTCAAAAATAAAAGCAATTTTTATTACAGTAAAAAACCTGATAATAAGCTGCTGTTCGCACAAGTGAAATTTCACTGTGGATGATTCATAGCATGATGCATGATGCATGATGCATTTGTATTCGATAAGTAGCAGCATTTTTCAATATTCCTCTGTCAACAATCTGCCATGAAAATCTCCATTCGCATGCAAATATCCCAATGAATACAATAAGAAGAAAAAAACTAAGCATTCAAATACCTTTGCTTGTCAGATCTAACCACAAAATCCTCGTTACTCTGACAAAACATTTTTGCCAAAGCAGTTTACGACAGAGGAAAACAAATGAAAAATGAACAAAAGATTCGAACCCGAATTCCATTGACAAAGGTCATAGTCGCAGCGCTCCTAAAAATGCCACAGAGACAACAACAACAACGGCAACTACGTTAAGACCAACAAACGGAAACCGGCAACAAACGAGATGTCAGAGGCATCTGAAATCATGTGAACATTTTGCAGCGAACAGTGATGGACGTTGAGCATACCCTATTTGAAGCTTATTTCAATTAAACACATGTTTAAAGCATGTAAAATATGCTAGCTACTGTTAGAGAGAGCTCTGTAAACATTGGATAACAGTGCAATGTGTAACACACTGTTAAGTGTTGACTGTCAAAACTGTTATCTGCAAGGCTTTTACAGAAAGCAATGTTAATATTCTCTAACAGTGAAGCAAAATGTTAATTGGATGACTCAAATTAAGGCATCACAAATAGTATCAGCAAAAATCGATGCTAACTTAAGCAAATATCTCATAATTTTGGTATACCCTGTAAGAGATTTAATCCGCGAGGGTATAGCAAAAAGCGCAACAACCCTTAACGGTATTTTTTTGTCAGGTTTTTCTTTTTGCGCACATAACATGCATTTGAATCATTCATAAGGCGTGCGACGAGTGCAAAAGCTACGCCTAGATAGATAGACAGAGGCAGAGCGAGTGAGAGCGAGAGAGGGAGAGTGAATGGAGTGTGCGAGAAAGGGTGGGCGCATTCGAAACCAGTTTCCCATAACACGATGCACGCACACGTCAAGAGCTTGTTGAGTGGGCGCGAGGCGTGGTGGCGAGGAGAGGTCGGTGAAAGGGCGAGCCTGTTAAAATATGCAGTTGCATGAGCAGAGCGAAACGAAAGAGGGCTAAAAACGAAGTGGCAAATGACAGGCAGCGCTTGCAGCGCCAACAGAGTGTCCTTCAGTGCGCGGCACAGGACAAGTTGTCAATAATGCACTCAATAACAAAGATACAAAACGAGTTTCAAGTGTGTGTACACTGTAAAAAATGCCCTGGAATTTCACAATTTAAACGAATATGTTAAAGTTGTAGAAGAACAATTTCCTTAACATTTTATTCATATTTTTGCTTGAATATTTACGACAAAAATATTATTTCCGTTAACATTTAAAAAACTTTCATAAATGTAATTTTAATGTTAACTTAAATTGTGTGCTGTGTAGGAAAAAACATGCATACATATGTATGTACATATGTATGATAATTTTTCACAAAAGCTTTTTGAGTAATGCATCAGCAAATGTTTTATTCACAAAGTCCTTTAAAGGGGCAATTTTAATTAATAATAAAAATAAATAACAATTAAATTGTTATGCGTACTCAAATTAATCAATTTCAACTGGTATTTCGCAGTTTTTAATTCATGACATGCATTCGTGCAAAATTAAAAAAAAAAAAACTATAAACAACAGAATTGTGATTATGCCAAATATATAATTCATTTGTTGATTTGCATAGGAAACGGTAATTAATATGCCCATGTGTCACTTCAAATCATAATTTAAATAATAAAGCAGAGTAAAAACCTTGACCGACAATTAATTATAGTGTCAAATATGTACTGGGTTTGAATACTTACCAGTGCCACTGTAGAGCCCAGGGCGTAGCATGAAAGTAAAAGCTTTAAGTGTTAGACAATGACTGTTAATCAGCGACTGCTAAATAAGAAGTATTAACAACAGCTTATGCTAATCACTGCTAACAATATGTTAGCAAAAGAGAATACATAGATAAACAATAAGTGTTCTATTGCATGTAATCAGTGCTAATAGCTAATTGGTTTTATGCTATTAACACGATAACAATATTAATAAAGACACATTTATCACTTAATTATAATTCAATTCAAAGCAATTGAGGGAAACACAACAATCAGCAAATGCTCAAGTAGAAGGAACAGCCAGCACAACAGTTTTTCCCCATCAATGTTAGCAGCCCAATGTAAACAGCCGGAGAGCAACACGCAGAGAGGAGGAGAGAGAGGGCCAGTGGCAAAAGTAGCAATTGATGAATTGTGTGTGCATGTGTGTGTGTGTGTGTGGGCGCCGTCTGTAAACTGCTGCTTTGATTTGTGTTTATCGTGTTTTCTCCATTTCACTTTGGCATCGTTTACTTGTGTGTGTGTGTGTGTTTGTGTGAGTTGATAAGCTTTTGTTGTTGCCTTCATTAAGTCAAAGTTTTGGCTACGCTGCAGAGCGCGCGTAAATTAAATTTTGTATTTTAATTAAAATCGCACAGCGCGACGCACAGTCTTTCGGAAAGCTGTCAAAGTGTCATAAATTGAAACGACGTACTCTCACTTAACATCTCGCCCCCACATGCTCTCCCACTCACTCTCTCGCTCACTCTCTCTCTCTCTCCCGCTGGCTCGTTTGCCGGGCTTTGTAACTGTGCTCCGGGCACAGTCAGCAAAGCGGAAGCAAAGTTTTTATAAGAGCGACTGTTGCTAGCTGTTTATGGCTACTGATAAGCGTGGCAGCGGTAGGCGTGGCACTGTCTGCGTGTCCGTGTTTGTGTGTGCATGTTTGTGTGTGTATGTGTTTGTGTTCGTAGCACTTGTAGCACACTTTAGCACGCTTGTTGAGTATGCCGCACTTTAAACGCCTCACAGCAATTAATTTGATAAAAATCTGTGTCAATTTCACATGAAAAGCTCCGACACAAGATGTAAGAGCATACATAATGCATCCGTTCGGTTCGATTAGTTACGTGCAGTGATGCCAAGTTTTGCGTAGCACAGAAAAGCTTCCTCTAAGACTAGAAAAGGCTAAAACACTCTTAAAAACAGCCAGAATTTCCGCTAGACGTGCCACAATTACACTTGAGAGCTAGATTCGTCGCAAATCAAACGACATTGGCAACACTGGCCAAGTGAGATGACGTGGGCATGGCGAGCAGCCCCGGCGACAAGTGAGCAAGCAATTTGATAACGGCATAAAAAGCTTTGAAGCTGTTTGAGCAATTTATTAATGAATTGGCGCGTTCGCAAAGGTCGCATCAAGTGGCGGCATGTTCGTAAGACAACAACAAAAACAGTAACGGGGACAGCAACAACAACAGCAATTACAAATGAAATTGTAACAGAAATTGCAATTAAGAAACGGCAAAACAAAAGCACAGTGAAACACAATTCGAAAACGTCAGCAATTAAACGCAATTAATGAAATTGTCAAATTGTGCAATTACAAACGGCGTCTGTGACCAAAGGCCAGTGTTTGGCCCCTGGACTGTGATTAGGCTGATGGTGGTCAATTGGTCGCAACTGGTTCCCAAGCCACAAATTAAGAACTAAAGTGAGATTACCATGAAATGTACGGAAAAATAAATGTGACATATTTAACTGAAATAAAATCATTTTTGAATTACATTTGCAAAAGTTCCACATGTCATCCACAACGATCCTTCAGTAAATAACTGTTAATTAACATACTGTTATCAATATAAACAACTTGACCAACGAGGTTAACATATGATCCACCTGCCTGCTACATAACATGTGATCCACGTGGTAAATAACTGCTATTTACATAGCGTAGCAACATTTATTATTACAACAACAAATAAATGCAATTGAATTGCACTCACACACACACATACATACAAATGAATTCATCATTCACAAATGCCGCCAGCGAGCGAGCTACCAAAATAAATCACTGGCTGTTAAGTCGAGCGCGAAACACATTTTGTATAATTAAGCACGCGCATTTGGCACACACACACCACACACAAACCAAAACAACAACAAAGAGGGAAGAAGAAGAAAAATCCCACATAAAAATACCGCATTTTGAGCGCAGCAGCAAAACGCAGAGCACACATCAAAGCCGCACCCCCACCATTTGTGTGTACCCTACTTTAAAGCAATAGCAGAGGGATACACGGGCAGGCCCTGCACTTGGAGCTCTTTAATGATCCGTGATGGCCAAACGCCAGAGTAGAACGAACTGGCCCGGTTGTTGAAGAGGCGCGTAATTTATATTGCATGCAAATAAAATTTATTTCAGTTACATGTTGGCAAACGCACAAACACACACACACACAGGGAGAGTGAGAGAGGGAGAGGCACACACACGCACAGACACGTTCCACAATAAACGACGCATCGTCTTTGCGTACCCCCATCTACAATAAATGCCCAGCCGGCAGGCAGGGGTTAACGAACTGTGTTTTGATAATAAAAATAATAATAAAATGTTAATTTGCCAACCGGCTCTTATCGAATTCTGATTACTGTTCATCTAGACGTTGTGACTAGCCTAGACGATCAGCTGTGAGCGCGCACAATGCGATAACTGGTTCAATGTTGGCTAAAGATTGCGGTTAGGGAGGGAGGGAGGGGGGTGCCAAAGGGAATCCAATTATAGCACAAAGTAA